GACAGCCCCCTATTTCCCTGACTCGTTGGTGCCTTGGTCCTCTCTCCTGTCCCTGGGGTGGAAGATGCTGGCGCTCTCTCCTCCGCATACAGGGGGGAAATGAGACCCAGGGAAACAGGCAATGGAGCTATACTTACACAGCAGAGGCAGGCAGAGAACTGTGCCCAGCCAGCACCCCAAGGCCTGCCCACAGAATGCTCAGTCAGTCCTGCCAATGGTTTTCCCATTGGCTTCCAGGAAAGTGCAAACTCCTTAACAAACTGACTCCAACTCACCCCTACACACACCTTCAAATGAAGCCAAATCAGTGTCGTGATTGCCACCTTTCACGCTGGAGCTGTCACACCACCAGAAACACCCTCACTCCTCCTTTCACTATGCAACTCAAAATTCCACCCATGGCCACCATTACCATTTGTTGACCACCTACTATGTGCCAAGCACTGACTCCCCAAGGGGAAAAACTACCCATCTCATGTGACAAGAGCAATGCCAACTGCCTTGGAAGTGTGAAGTTATGGAAGCAATTCCTGCCCCAAAACACCGAATAAAAGGCTTATTTTTTCTTGCTGTAATAAAATATTTGAAGTTTTTTTTGAAAAGATTTTTCTGGTGTTTGTTTCTCCTTTGGGCATCCATGTCTCTGCGTGCAGCTCTGTGTTTTTTCAAAGCAGCTCCCAGCCATCATGCCTGATCTGCACAAACAACACTTCCAGGTAGGCAGGCAAACAAGGGCTTATCATCCCTGATCTACGGGAAGGAAATGAGGCACAGAGAGACTAAGTGACTTGTCCAAAGTCACACATCAGAGACCGGACATGGAATCCTGACAACTCCCAGCCCATCTCCTCTGAGCCCCCAACAAATGTCCATGATGAGCTGGATCCTGCCCTGGGCATTTGCCTGCATTTATCTTCTTAACCTTTGAAACAATCCGTCAGGTACATAAAGTTGGTGACCCCCCTTTTCAGATTAAAAAAAATAGAAGTTCAAGTGATGCAGCTGGTCAGTGGCAAAGTCAGATTTTGAACTCATTTTCCTCCAAAAGGGGACCGCAGGGAGGGTGGCCTCACTCTGGCAGAGGTGTTGACTAGAAGAACAGCCAGGTCCTTCGACCTCTTCCAGCCTTGCCTTCTCACCTGCCACAGCAGCACCACACTGGGCTGTGGCAGGGACAGAAGGATGCCACACCCAGCTCATGTCTGTTCCTGCCCCTGGGACACACTACACACTCTAAATGCTTCATGACTGTGCCAGCAGGGTCCCCACCATTGTGCCAGCACACAGTGGGAGCATCACAAGCTTGGCTCCTTCTTTCCAGTGGGGAAGGTTGGTGTCCCAGTGGAACCTCCCTGTTTTGGGGTGTCTCTCCATCAGCAACCCCCTGCCTCTTCTCCCTCCCTCTCTGAGTCACTGCCTCCAAGTACAAGTCTGCAGCTCTAAAAATAGAGCACATATGGGGGCATAAAAATACCCACAGATGTAAACTACAGCAGCAGTGCCCCCCTGCCCTCAAGTCCCCCTCCACTGACCCCAGGGTGGCCTCCCCAGGAAATCCCTGGACTGGCAACTCTTGCTTGACCTGGTGTGGACCCAGAGTTTTCAATCTGCTGGAAGTCCTTAGCCAGGGGCCACCTCTTGCCCACACTGCCCAGCAAAGCCAAACTTCCTTTCCTTGTTGGCACAGGGCTGCCACCTCACACCTCACACTCCCTGGGAGGCTGAGCTGCCTCCCAGAGCTGGAGGTGGGCCCAGAGAGGGGAAATGACTTCCTTGGGCCACACAGCCAGCAAGAGGCAGGGCCAGGCCTGGACTCCGAACCAGTGCCCTGGCAAGCCCCGGGGAAGAACAGCAAAGCCCGGAGCCCTTGCTGCCCTCCACCTGGCATTGGTCTGCCCTGGACACCACATCCGAGCCCACAGAAGCACCTCCCAGCAGCTGCCTCTCAGCGATGCCAGCCTCCCAGAGGCACAGCCAGGGTGTCAGGGCCCAGCCTGGCAGAGGTTCTGCCAAGTGAGGAGGTGAGAGAGGAGAACTCAGAGGATTCCCCTCCCTTCACACCACCTGGCGCCCAGACTTGCTGGGAAGGCAAAGCCGAAAACAGGACTTAGCAAGGCCTCCTGGAAAGGTGACGAAGGAAAGGGAACCCCAGGGCTGCATGGAGCCTGGGCTGGGGGTGCCCTGTCTTGGGAGGGGCCCGTGGAGCAGCACCTTCAGGGGTAGCAAAAGGGCAGCCCAGAGACATGCTCTCTGGCAACCTGACAGGTGTGTTTGGAGGAAGGCGAGCAGGAGAGGAAGGCCTACTGAGGGGGAAAGACCAGGCAGTTTCCCAGGATTCCCAGGGTTAGCCCACCGGGGTTCACAGGAACCAGAAAAGAGGGAAGATGGGAGGCTGAGGCTTTGCTGGGGGTCAGGCTTTGGCAGTCAGAGGGGCCTCTGCCACCCCCTCCCAGGTTGGTGCTGAGTTCACATCCCACGCGCAGGAAGCTGATGGAATGCACGCGTGTGTGCACCCGCGGTGGCCTGGGTGTGGGTGGGTGTGTGTGCATATCTGCCAGGTTCGTTTCTAAGGGTGTGGGGCCTCCTCATGCTCCTTCCTGAGTGTGTATCATGTATGTGGCCTGGAGGAGATAATGGAAGCAGATATCAGCCCGATGAGGGCTTTGGAGGTGGCCCTGGCCGACAACACCCTCCACCTCTGTGTGTACACGATGTCTGGACGGCGTCTCTCTCCGTCTGCCGGGTCGGTCAGAGGAAGAGGCGGGAGTCTTAGCTGGGGTGTGCAGTGTGTTCCGGTGTCTGGGTCTCGGGGTATTTGTGCATCAGAGCGTGCTTGCGTCTGTGTCTGGCTGTGCACGGGTCTCGGCTGTTTGTGCAGCACGTGTGGCTACTCAGCGCGTCTGAAGGCAGGACAAAGGCCTCCGCCGACAGACAGGTGGTGTGAAAGACAGACCTGCCCCAGGAGTCCTCACAGGGCCTCTGGCCTCGGAACATGACAGCCGGCAGGGGTGGGGCCCGGGGAGAGGGAGGTGGAGCAGAGTCTCCGGGCTCCCTCACCCCAGGCCTGCGCGGCCACTGCTGGGGGCCTGAGGCGGGAGCAGCAGAGAACCCTGGACTAAAAAGGAGACTGGCTGCATTTCAAGAGGCCAAAGGAAGAATCCTTCCTGTCTCATAGTGGGTGGAGGATGGACAGGGCCAGGAGAGGGGTCTCTGGAGATCCCTGCCAGGCAGACACCCAGGGGCAGAGAGGAGAGCTTTGCCCAAGGAAGGCTGGGAGCTGGGAAGGTCCCAGGGTGGGAACATCATCACGGCTGTGGGCAGCAGTGGCAGAGCAAGCACAAGGCTCTGGGAGGGGGAGGTCTGAGTTTCAGACCCTAAAGAAAGGTGAAGTTCTCCTCAACCTGATCCAGCCTCCCTACCTCCATCCAGATGCACCCCCACCCCAACCCTGTGCAGCACAAGAGAGCGTGTCACCTGTGAGCCACTCCATCCCACTGCTGTGGAGATCTGCCTGGACCAAGAGTCAATGAACTGATTCTAGCCAAAGGCAACTCTGTGACCTTGGGCAGTTTATTTAGCCTCTCTGAGCCTTAGTTTCCTCATTTGTGCAATGGAGATCTCTCCGTTCCCCTCCTTGAAATGTTGCTGTGGGTAAGGAAAGCACTCTGCCACCTGAGGATTAATCATTACCCTGGAATTTTTTCCAAGGCCATTAAGGCATCCCTCTGCTTCCCCAGACCCTCCAAGTGCCAGGAGGTCTCAGAGAGAGACTGAGATCCTGGATAGAGGATTGAAAGGGTATCTTGGGGCCAGCTGGGCGTGACCACCACCTGCCCCACTCAGCTGCTGCCTTCTCCCCGTTCAGGGGCCTCTTTGGCTGATTTCCCTCTCATCAGCTAGGAAACTCAGGGTGGCCTTTCCTCTGGTCCAGCTTCTTCTTCCAGACACCCTGGGGAAGGAGGGACCCCTACCCTGGGGCAGGGTGGACCTGGAGCCAGAGGCTCAGCTCCCTTTGGGGAGGAAATAACCCCCCTCCTTCGTTTTCCCTCTGCCTTTCTCTCCTGCTCTGTCCTGGCCCAGCTTTTCTCAGTGCCCCCTCCTGCTGGCCTCTGATTTTGGTGAGGGAGGAGAATGAAGCATGGGGCCAGATGCCATGTGCCATGTGTAAGGGGCGGGATGTCCTTGATTCCACCCCCAGGCCTGTGGTCCATCCCAACAAAATCTTGGGGTCACGCACAGGTCGGGGTCTAATCACCAAGGAGGAGGTGTGCTCACCTCCTGAGCTGGTTTATGTGTGTGTGCGTGCGTGCGTGAACACAAAATATCTTCCGGAAGCCCAGGCGCCCCACGGCTGGCACCAAAGTGCCTGCGGGGTGCGGGGGACCGCCCTGTGGATTCCCATCGAGTCCTCAGATCCTGTGGCGCCAGGGGAAGCGACGAGGGGGCGCCCGACCGCGTGACGCGGGTGCCCTGCTCCGCGGCGGGTCACAGACGGGGCGGGGCGGGGGTGCGCGCTGCCCCTGGGGAAGCAAGGACTTCACTGCCCCTCAGCTCAGGATCGTTGGACCACCCCCACTTCCCTCCTTCGAAGACCAGAGAGCCTCTTCCTGGGGGGTGTCGTGGCCAGGCCCCTCCCGGAGGGATCCAGGGAACGCGCCCACTTCTCCGCGCCCCATCCACAGGATGAACGGAACACGGGACCCCCACCCACGCAGGGGGGTGGGACCCGAGACCCTGATCCGCGGCCTGGACTCACCCCCCGGAGGCGGGGGACTGAGCCGGCTCAGCCCAGGCCTGACCCTCGGTCCCCCGCCTGCAGCCGCGGCCAACCAGGGCCTGTTCCCGGTCCACGCCGGCCCTGGCCCCCGGGTCCCCGCTCGTGGCCCCCATCCTCCCGCCCGGCCCGCCCGCGCGGGGTCTCAGCTGCCAGCCGAGGGGAGCCTGAGTCACCTCCGTCCCTTCCCCTTCCCAAGGCCGCCGCCCGGGCGGGGCGGACTCACCCGCGGGCCTGGGCCGGGGGCGTCCTGGGCTCGGCACTCCGGTGCCAGCGGCAGCCGCTGCAGCTCTGCTCGGACGCGGCTTGGCGTTCGCCGCCGCCGCCGCCGCCGCAGTTGGGGGGGGTGCCACGTGACCACGGAGCCTCCTTCCCGGCTCGCTCCCCCCTCACTGCGGAGCCCGAGCCGGAGCCGAGCTGGAGCCGCGGGCGCGGGAGCGGCGGAGGCCCCCACCTGGCCGCCTCCAACAGGTCCCGGAGGCGGGCGCTCTGCGCCCCCATTTTACGGGTGGGGAAAGTGAGAACCTGAGGGCAAGCACTGGCGCAAGGTTACAAGGCTAGATGGACAGGGCCCATGCTCCAAGGAGAGTGGGACAACTTGGGGGGGAAATGGGGGCGACGGGAAAGGTGGGGGCCACTCTCTGGGCTCGCGTGGGCTCCGCGTGTCCGCAGGGGCGGGGAGGAAGGAAAAGGCGCACAGGTTTAGCTGGGCGAGGAGGCTGTACCTTCGCTGCACATCCTTCGCATGGGCGCTTAGCGCGCGTCCTCGCTGAGGCCCAGCGATGACTCTCCGCAGCCCGTTAGTGGCTCTCCGACATCCTCCCTGAATTGGGCAGCTCGTGTCCCACTCCCAACCTAACCGGGAAGGCCGCAAGGGGCGGGGGGAGTGGCGAACCTCAGGCCACGCTCTAAAGGGGTAGTGGAGGGAAGGCAGCAGGACAGTGGAGTCAAGAGAGTGAAAATCCAGGCAGGAAGGGGCCACAGAGATCACCTTAACCTGACCTCTGAGGCCCCGGCGGGAAGAGACTTGCCCAAGGTCACAAGCAAGTGAGCAGCAGCAGCAACACTGCGGACACGTGAGAAGCTCCCGGGCATCCATCCCCACTGAAGAGAACCCATGTTGTGAGCCCACTGGGCTTCCCTCCAAGGGACAACCATCGTAGATGAACCAAGGAAACAGGCAGTATGTCTACAAGGGCCAGCGCTGTGAGGTAGCCCCAAGTCACATGGAACATTGACTTTAGAAGGGAACTTTGAGACCTCTGGATCTCAAATAATTGCTCTAATAACTGAGGGAAACTGAGGTTGCAAAAGGGGTTGAGACAAACCTCCATCTCATCTACCCTCCAAGGGCAGCAAGTCCAAAAGGCCCACTTCACAGACAGGATTTAGGGAAAATTTAAGTCTTGTATTCACTTATTCAACATTTTTATTGAGCACCTGCTGTGTGCTTAACAAGTGACTGTCACTTCCACCCCCACCCCCCGTTTTCCCAGCGGTGGGAACTGCATTTCATTGAGGAAAATACCTGGGACCTTCAGTAACACATCAGCCTCTGGATGATCTGAGACGTACAGGCCGCTGAGTTTTCAGTCCTGCAGGGGCTGGAACCAGGACCACGTTTCCCCACCACAATCCTCAACTCAATCAAGAGAGGCTAGACTTAAAGGGGAACAGCAGCCTGTGCCTCACCCTCATCTGACCCCCCGCCCCCCCTCCACAAATGTGAAAAGGCAGAGGCGAAGTAGAGTTGGGGCATTAGTTCTTTCCAGTTTTTTCTGTGTCTCTCCTGCAGGCTCACCCCAGCTATGTGTGGGAAAGAGTTCCGAGCCCAGGGCTTCTCAAACTTCTAAAAGCATAGGAGTGGCCTGATAGAGATTCAGTGGGCCTGGGGCCTGAGTTCCTGCATTTCTAATAAAGCTTGGCAGCATTTCTAGTCCAAGACAGTATCTGAATAGTGCTGGTAGCACAAAGTTGCCAGGGAAGAATGAAAACTGCTGGGGCTCTGAGAGTCGACGGCTGGAGAGGCACCTACTCACTCTGGACCCACCCCAACCCTGGGGGCCCTGTGATTTCCTACCTAAGCATCAGGCCTGAGCCTGGATCCTTCTGAGGATGCACCAGGGCTTTAGAGTTTGGTTTAAAGCTGTAATAAGAGGGAAGAAGTTGAACGAGACTGGCCGAGGCACTTCCAGAGGTGGTGCAGAAGGGATTTCGTAGCAGCAGTTGCCCCAGACCAGTATGTTGTACAGGGCACTGGTCCTGAGATGCTTGGTGAAATAAAATCCTTTTTAGGAAATGCTGGTTGAAAGCCCAAAGCCCTTCCAGGGCAGCATGCGCTGGGCTGCCCTGCCTATAGCAGGGCTCACATATCTCAGGAAGTGCACACAAATTCCAGGGTTCTCTGAAGCACATCTCCTCCTGTCCTTCATCTCCTTTTTTGTATGCTAGGCTGGATGCACCCCTGAATTCAGTTCCCATCAAAATTCCAGTGCCTCTTCCTGCTTCTCCAACTACTCCCCCAAAACGCCCTCTTCCCCTCTGGGCTCCCAACTCTGGCCACGAAGGCATTGCCGATGGTACCATTCCAGATTGTGAGTGGAGACAAAGGTGCCTCGGGCAAGGGGCCAGCAGAGGCAGGGGAGGCACGGACATGAACTAAGCGGGGAGTTGCAGCTGTAACCTTTCATGGTCTGGACCAGCAGACCCCAAGGTCCCCAAGGGCCTAGGATCCTATTGGCACTGAGGGACTGAATGTACTCAATCCTGGTGGAGTAGGTCAAAGAACGAAGGCTCTTTTGTGCCAGGCCTCTCTATTTCTTTATGACCAAGTGCTTCAATTACAGCATTTTCCTCTTTACAGAAAACCTCAATGCATGAGGCTTATAATCTCTCTTGTGTCCTGGGGGGCAGCATGCTGAGATTGTCAGGGGCCCTGGGGAGAAGGCAGCAAGCACGTGCCATAGGGGGCTGGGCACGGAGCCAGGGTATTGAAGGGAAGATTGGATGAAGGCCCCAGAGCTTCGCTTTCCCTGCCCTATTTCAATCCAAACCACTCAAGACTGACCACTCACGCATGGCTGACTCTGGGCACAAGCCTTTTCTTTTCCAAACACTTAATACATTGCGACCAAGCCACCACCCCTGCCCTCCCTCCCAATTGCTGTAAAAAGAAAGCTGGTTTCAAAAAATCTGACATCTAAGAAGGGTGGAGAATGAAAACGGGGGTGGCACAACAGTAAACTTGGAATAATGCAAGCAGGAGTCCAAAAATGGGAACGATGCCTTTTGGAAATAACTCTCCTGTCTCTGCTCACCCCTCCCTGGCCAGATCAACAAGGAGAAAGATGGGGATGGGGACCACCCAGTGGAAAAGGCAGAGGGAGAAAACCCAAGTGGTAGGTCCCCAAGGTATGTTGTTTACAGAACACTGAGTCAGGTCTGGGAGGGGCTGGTAAAGAGGAGTGCGGGCTGCAAGAATAGCTGGAAGGTAGGTCCATTCTGGTGACTGGATAAGGACTGGGAATCAGCTCCAGAACATATCTGTCAAGAACCTGAGGCCTCAGTGTCTGGGTGGGCTGCCATGCTGATGCTGGAGATACAGCAGAGAGAATGTAATACTGGGGGACCCATTCTTGGATGACAATGTGAACACAGCCAAGAAGTCCCCATTTTGAAGACAAAGGAGACAAGCCCAAAAGTGGGGATAGCACTGCTCACACGAAAGTAACAGAAAACTCTCAGAAATCTTGCTGGGCAGGAGCTTCCAGTGGATTCTGGGGTTCATCCATTATTCCTTGCTGAGAACCCATTTTATGTGACACACTGTGGGAGACAGGATGAATAAGATGGCCAGAGCCCCTGCCCTCAGGGAGCTAGAACAGTCTCACACTAGTTAGGCTAATTCATTTTCTGGGATTTGGAGTTGTTTTAGGTGCAGTCAGAATATCCAGCACAGCCCTAACTCCAGCTCCCAGTTAAGACAAAAATAATTAATTTACTCTAGTCCCAGAAGTCTAGACAGTTTAGCACGGCTTGAAGCCTCTTTCACCCAGAACCAGTGCATGCTACAACTGGGAGAGAAGATGCAGCAAAAACTCCAAACCAACCAGTCAAAGTGACTCACATACTGATAAAACGAGGACGTCCTTAGAGGTGATCCGGGTAGGCAGTTTTCCAAGTGCACTCCGGGGAACTTCAAGGGAGTGGGTGGGTATGGGAGTGGAGCTGAAGAGATGCAGCCCCCCTGCCTCCTTCCACCTAGTTTGTCCTTAACAATTTCTACACATCCAACTTCCTTTTAGAGGCCCAAAGGGGAACACACTTGTCCAGGATCATAAAGAGAGCTGGTAGCAGTTCAGTGTTCCCTGGGTTACAAATACAAATACACGAGAATGGGGGAGGGGAGACCAAGAGCCAAACAAGCAGAGGCCCACGTGCCGGCCGGCAAGGATTCAACCGGGCAGCGGCTGCTCAGACCTTCTGGCTTCCTTGGGGTGTGTCCCCCACTTCCTGTGGCCCAGGGCCTGCCTTGCCTGGCAGCACTAAGGCAGATCTGGAATTCAAGCTGCCACTCCAGCTGCTGGTTCCCTCCCTGACCAAGAGCAATTTCACTTCAAAGGCCTGAGCCTACAGTCTCAGCCAAATCCTTGAAAACACTTTTTTTCCCCCTTTAAGCATAATGTGGGCAAACAGATGATGCCCTCTATCAGAGAGCAATACTGTAATTATGTTGGACAAGCTCTCGGAGCTAACTTCGGGGGAAATCAGACAGCCTCATGAAAGGGAAAGTGTGAAAACACAGCCGGAGAAGAGCCCACGTGTCACTGGTGCTTGTGGATGGAGCCCATTTGGCAACAACATCCATTTCTTTGGGGATTGTGGTGGTGTCTGCGCTGAGTAGGACACAGCAAAGGCTCAGTCCAGTAATGAGCTGGTGCAGGTTCCAATTCTAAAGGCAGAACAATGTCACCAGGCGACTCCCGGCAAGCTGCAAAGACGACTTGATTCATAAGAGGAATTCTGCAACCTCCCTCTTCCCCAAACCTAATGAGGTTCATAAGTGATACTTAACTTTTATCGTATGAAGAAATGTCACCACCTTGTCTGAAACGTATGCATTTAAAGTGCTGAATGTGACATGGATGGCAGTACACTGCATTCATTTCATAAAACTGGTCATGTGGTTGATTTGCTGGGGAAGGGGAAGCACAAGAAATACCTGTTCCATGCACTCTACTCTTGAACAACATTATTCACTGGGTCTCAAGAAGTACATAAAGAATGAAAAACACGACTCTCAGATCAGGAAGTAGCCTGAAGCACTGGCC